TCAAGAAATGATTTCAGTTCATCAATATCAGGACAAATATAATAACGATGTAACATCTCGATTCACAGTTGAACAAACAACCTTCAGAAGCAAGTCCTTATAATCAGTTCTGACAGGCAGTGCTGCAACTGCAAGTTTCAAATTTTGGTGTGTCTCACAGACACAGATTGCATGGACACCACTCGAGTCAACAGTAATGCACCATGGTGGTCGCAGTGAACAAAACTTGCTAAGCCCAATTTTCATTGCAGTTCATTTTTGAATTCTACATGCATCTCCTTGAGATTCAGAAGTAGAAGACGTTTTTGTTTATGAACACGTTCACCATCAGTTCTGATTGACAAGAATTCTTTTTTACCTAGACACATGTGGGAAATTTCATCATCTTTAAAAAATTTACGTACACTTTCAATCACATCATCTGGAAGAATTTTGCCATGTTTTTTCTGTGGGTATGCCAAAACTCCATATGACTTCTTCAGTTTTCTCGCTTGCTTAACGACGTGCCTGGTTACTCCAAATTCCTGTGAGACTTTTTGTTGGCTCCAGCTAGATGGTATTAGTATTACCATCTTAATCTTTTCTTGCCTGGAAGCTGTACTGCACTTAATCTTTAATTCAGTCATTAGTTTTGTTAAGTCATTGCCATGACTTTCTTTAGCATTACCTTCATTCACAACTAGATTAAGAGGTACTTGGATGACTTTGCTTACTTTCGTCTGGATCTCTGTTGTTGCAGTTACAATTTTACGTTTGGCATATGACATTCTACTTCGAAGAGGGATTGCATAAAGCTTAACTGGTGTGCAGCCAATGCTTGTTATACTGTCATTTAATTGAGAAAGATTCAAGTCAACGTCTTCTATATCGGTATCACTTGTTAAATGTCCATAACTCTGTTCAGGTTCCTGGGATGTATTGTACTTTCAACAAATTGGGCATAGCTTCTCACCAGGTTTGATGTATCCCCCAGTTGTTAGTGTTAGCTCCTTGGCTTTGTCAATACTGACTGCCTTCAGTGACTTTGTGAATTTGCATTGATGTTTATTGAATGGATCACAACAACTGGGCTGCAATTTATCAAATTTTTCAAGTAGAACCTGTTCATGGTGGAAGCATATCAACAATTCAAAGTTAGCATTGGATAATTCTGACAGGTTATGCAAGCCGACACTGCGTGTATGAACTGTCTTGTGGTATTTATCTTGAAGCAACAGTTTAAATGTGCACAATGGCAGTTCAGCCATATTCAGTAAATATTGAATATATAAAAAATGTGATTACATATTTATAAAAAAAAAAATTCCATACTAATTCAACCAAAAAAAATACAAGTTTACATGCTACTTTCTCATAATTAAATAAAACTTTTAGTATATGTTTATAAATGTTTTCTATTAAAGAAATGAAATACCTAAAAAAAAAATAATACCTAAAAAAATATAATTAAAAAAAATAATTAATAATTATATATTAATAATATGAAATACCTAAATAAAATATTAAACAAAAAATTCATTTGAAAATATTCAATTTCTTCCAGATTTTTCACTAAGGAGGCAAGACACCAACATGAAATTTTTACTATAGCTAGTAGTTACTGAGGTTAATAAGTGTGCAAATAATGAAATGTGTGAATTACTGTCAACATGGTCATCTGGGGGTCGCAATGCGCAAAAAAGTTGATGACCGTGATGCATAACGGTGTCTACAATGGGTACACTATTATTGATTAACATGAATTTCCTTTGAAAATAATAAACACATATATGGTACTTATTAATCGTATAACAAATCATTACATGTTTTGTAGTTTCTTGGCTTTATCGGGTCAAATATTGGTGAAAACTGTCTAAAGTGCAATGTTTGGACATTTTTAGGGGATATTGTATGCAAGCTACATTTGATATAAAGACACCATTCAACTCAGCATTAAAAAATTAGTAAATGCTGAAAATTTCAGCCTGATACCTGTTTTAGTTTTTGAAATATTCACGTTCTAATATCGCAAAAATCTAAAAGTCACGTGAACTCGCGACAACCCTTAAAACTTTGAAAAATCAAAAAGTTTTTGACAAAATGGCCTAAAATTTTCAGCAATTGCATAACTTTGTATGTACTACAAGCCCTAAATTTCAGGAAGATCTGAGATGGTGTGGTGAACATCACTTGAGTTGACATGGAATGACTCCCCTAATAAATTTTGAATATTTTCCAATCTTGCTATGCTTATAGCAATATTTATAGCGAAATTTTTATTATAGTATATATCTATAATAATCATAGCAATATTTATAGCAAAAAAATAATTGTATAGCAAAAAAATTTTCTAATTGTTAAAATAAAATTCAAAAGTTTTCTCATTTTTATAGATTTATAATACACGGTTATACACGATTGTTCCATATACTGCCTGCAAACTCAACATATGTTAAAGACGTTTACACTTACAGATATTTGTACGCAAAGCTATACAAATAGCAGAACTAAGAAGATCTTAGGCCATTAAAAACTATTGACTATAAAATGATAAGGGATAGTCCATATACTATGCATCACTAAATTTATATTTAAAAAAGAAGAAAGAGATCTTCAGTTCTTTTAGGCGGCGATTTACATTAAACTTGATGAGCTATTTTGATTTTTTATTTAACATACGACTCTGCAAGGGAAAATTTTGATCTTTTATGTTTTGTTCATAAGTGAAATTTAGCGTTGTGTATTTTGTGGATGATCCCTTATTTAAAAGTTTAGATTAGGGATCAGCCAAAAAATATATAAAGCCAAAAAATAATGGAGTATAATACTATTTTGATGGTTATCTAAATTCAATTATGTTCTTATATAAACATTAAAAAAGTTGAGGTTGCTGCGTGGCAAGTTCAAATCATCAACTTGCTTTATTTTTTAATTTTTTTAATTTGAAATGCAAAACAAAACAACTTTACAGTTCTATAGATTTTATATTCTATATATAAACATGTTGTATACTCATTTTTCTTGCACAAACTCAACTTAGTTGTAAAAAAGCATGAAATGTAAAACTAAAATAACACAAGTTCTCAATCATGACACATACGCAATAAATATCACACCGTTTTTTAATGTTTTTAGAATTTTTAGCTTTTTTAACAATCTCTTCGTTTGTTAAAGTGTATAATGTTGTTAGATATGTTAGTATATAATCTTTATAAAACTTCACAAGTATTTTGTATTCTAAAACTCTAAAAAAAAAAATTAAAATAAAGATCACTGGTGGTTGGACTCAAACCACAGTTTATTTGTTCAGAAGCTCAGCCCGCTAACCACTCAGCCATGCTGGCACATTGACAATTGAAATTTTAAAACTATATAAAAAAATTTTCTAGTAAAAATTAATGCTCTAGATCAAAAAATAATGAGAGGTTGACGCAATTTTTAAGGTAAAAAACTGTTAAACTGATGTTTTAGTTTACTCGTTGATGTTGCTTTTGTTTACTCATTGATGTTACTCAACTGATGTTGATGTATACTCATTTTACTTGCACAAACTCAACTTAGTTGTAAAAAAAAAAATTGAAATGTAAAACTAAAATTTCAATTATGAAACATACGCAAATTTCCCCCTGTTTTTTGATGTTTTTAGAAATTTTAGCTTTTTTAAAAATCTTTTTGTTTGTTAGTGTTAGAGTGGACACTATTGTTACATATGTTTGTATAAAATCTCTATTAAACTTCACAAGTATATTATATTTTGAAAAATCTAAAAAAATTAAAAAAAAAAGTTGCCAGTGGTAGGATTCAAACCATTCAGAAAGGCTTTTTTGTTTAGAAGCTCTGCATGTTAACCAAGCTGGCACATTGACTTTGGCAGAATATTTTAAAGCTATTTAGTAATTCTTTTCAATTGAAATAAATGCTATAGATCAAAATTAAGGAGAGGTTTACGCAGTGCAATTTTCAAGTTAAAAAAGTAAAAAAAAGTCAAACTCTAAAACTTGATACATGTTTAAGTATGTTTTAAGATTACGTAATTTGAAGTTTACATACGTTTGATATTTGCATGCACTTTCGTTCACATTTTCTTATAAAACAAAGCTGCTGCAACTCTTTCTTGTCATTATCTTGGTTGCAATGGATGCCAAGAGTTCTGTATCAAACAGGCTTGAATGGGCACTATTATTAAAACTACTACTACTACTACTACTACTACTACTACTACTACTACTACTACTACTACTACTACTACTACTATGTTCAGTATTGTTAAATATATTATTCATAAAAATGCAATCGACTTTTACATTTTTTGTTTACATGAAATTGACTGAATTACAAAGTTCAGTTGATTCCATGTTTTTACAAAGTTACAAGTTTGACCTCAATCAAGTCAATTTTATTGAGCTATATAATAAATGTTTTTTTTTTAATGGTGAGTTGTTATGCATAATTTCTAAAATGAATAACAATTTATCAATTATGTTGCTTTTTATCAACTGCAAAATTTTAATTTAGGAAAAGTTATCATTTGAAACTAAAGATCTTTCTTGTGTATAGACTCTATAAATAAATCATAAGTGACTCATAAGAAAAACTCATTATATTTAAGACAATAAAACATGATATACAACATAATAAACCTTATATATATGCAAAAAGAACATTTTCAATTATATTCCTATTTATATACAGCTATAATATGTATAAAAATTCAAATAAAGTTTATATAAATTTTAAAATTTAAATTAAAATTTAATCAAGTTGAAATTAAAATTTTCAAATTTTAACACTTAAGATTTTCTGTTGTCGAAAGATTTAACTAAATTATTTATAAAATTAAATTAAATTTTTAAAAAAATTAAATTTAAAGGTTAAGCATCTTTTGTTTTTGACATAAAAAAAAAGTAAACATCATTTAGAAAAATCTAATAACAGTTAGGTTGTTTTTACTTTGATAGCCATTTTATTATTTTCTTTTTTCAATCTTATATAAAAAAAAAAACTAAACAATTTTTCTTCAGAATTTGAATCAGCAGAAACTCTTTTGAACTCTGAAGTTTTTATGTTGCTGGAACACAGAAAAGCTCAAAATGAAAGTGTAGATGATGAACAAGAAATGAGTGATGTCTTCATGAAAACCTTAAATTATACGCAACGTTTCAGTCGGTTCAAAAATCGAGAAACTATTGCTCAAGTGAGAGGGTAAGCTTTTCTTAGTTTCATTATAAAATTTATTTGACACTTGTTGCATGGTTATTAACATCTATAAAGTATTCTAAGTAAATTTAAAAAAATAAAAATAAAATTTATTTAGGTTAATGTTTTTAACTTTTATCTCCATCAAAACAATCTAAAATTATAGAAGTGCTGTAGTGGTACAGTAAACAATTTGTTTCACAGCGCAATAAATTTGTTGGAGGGAAATATATAAAAGGTCTGGCACTAAGTTCCATTATTCTCAGATGACTAAATCTCATATTTTATTTAAAAAATTCTTGTTGAAATTTATAAATAAATATTTCAACAATTCTAAAAATGAATAATAACAACCTTGTGTTTGACATATATGCTTTGCTGATAACTGTACAGCATTTATAGCATTTGAAGGTTAATTATTTTATTTAGAAAATCCTGCTTCTGTTGCTAACTCTCATAATACCTTCTAATAAAAACCCATCTACTCAGGCCATGACCCCATTATCAAAATCTCCCCATGGCACAGTGGGCCAGGTATATGGGAAGTGGTGGACAAAACCTAATTATTACCCAATTGGTCCACAAACCCATTTAGATATATAAATAATCATTATATATGAAATAATATTTATTTTTAACAAGAATATTTTAATTTTTAATAAAAAAAAAGACATTTAATAGGCTTAGGTAGTAAAAAAATATTTTTTTCAATATCAACCTTTTTTAAAAATCAAACAACAAATTGTGTTTAGCTACAAAGAAAAGGAAGAAGGTGGAGCTGATTCCCTCAGCAAAGCCAAAACTTCACTGGGTTTTTTTTTTTAAACTCTTACCATTTTTTTATGACACTTTCTTAATGATGTTATGACAGGATCACTATATACAAGTAGCCTGTTAACTAGGTCACGATTTGTGTCGATTCTGGAAGTCTTTCTACTGAAATCTTCCCTAAACTTTTTAAAATCCTTGTTACAGGCCTCTTGGGCCTCCTCTGACATCAGTCCAATTGGCAAGTACTGTCTAGCAGTGATGGCATGGCCATGAACTAAAATTTTGTGTACTGATTGTGCCATGTAATATCAGGAATACTTAGATATGTAAAGTTTAAGAGCAGTAATACAGAACTCTTTAAATTTGACAGTGTCAATTTCAAATCCAGATGATAAAGTGACTAGTATGATGTAGAGATAAAATAAAAGAGTTTCATCTACTTTCAAAATTTTGGCAGTTGATTGATAGCTTGCAAAGGCTCGTCGGGCAGTGTTACCATCATTACTGGTACCTACAAATTGTATATATGTGATAGTTAACCTGATGATTTATATAAAAGTATTTATGTAATTTCACTTACCAGATCCTCCACTTTTTGGGAAATCCACAACTAGTCCCATTTGGTTCATAAATTCTGTCTGTATACGTTTCTTCACTTGCATAACATTTTCCTTATCTTCTATAGCTCTAGACTGTCACTTTTGAGTTTCTAGTTTATATCCAATATGCAATACCATCTCAAAAAACCTAATCCAGGCATGCAGGCTAGAAAGACCATATTTCAATTCTAAATTGTTAGAATTGTCCAATTTCAGCACCATTTCTAAGTTATTCATGTTTTTTGGAGACACACCACACACAGAGCAACATTGAGTTGAGTTAGTCACATGAGACAGAATAGTTTGAATTTTGCCATCAATCATGGTCAGTTCAATAATACTTTTGAAAACCAGTTCCTTTCCATTAAAAGTAAAATTAAAAACACTACATTTTTTGATTTCAGATTCTAAATATTTTGCTTCTTCTATAACAACTGCTTTGCTTTCATTTTAAAAAGAAAATCTTATTGGACGACAATATGCAGTAGATGATGGCTTTTCATTTCGCTATAATAGTACTTTTTTGTTATTACAGAACCCACTGAGTTCTAGTGGTGCTAAGCAGGTAATGAACAGAGATTCTTCTTTTTTTTAAGTTACGATCTCCAGCTTCCTCACTACTAATTTGCTTGAACATGCTTTGCCCAGTAGCCCCATCAAACTCAGCCTTGCAGCGCAAAGTCAACCGGGTCAAACCATCTAGCATTGTGCTGATCACAGGAGCTTGCACCTCACAAAGTCTTTTTACTGTATGTTTTAATAATTCTTGTAGTGGTACATGTGCTGAATAATCATCAACAAAGATGTTCTCTGGATAGCACTTAGCTTTGGACAATCTTATGTTGTTGTATGAAGGATATATATGGCAGTCACGTTCTTCAGCTCCATTTCTCATAAGTTGGTAGGTTGATTTTGACATGCCATCATCTATAATTAATGCCAGACCTTCATCAGGTGTATACTTTTTAAATTGACTAGAAAGTTCTGATATCTCAGCAACTTGCTTGGCAGCCTCATAATTATACTCATGTTTTAATTTAAGCCTTGCTGAGTGGAGCAACTCATCACTAGAAAAATTATTTATAATATCATTAAGTCTTCTCCTTTTGGTTTTGTCAGCAACTTGGTCTTCCACCATTCTTATGTAATTGACTAGAATTATCAGGCTTAGATATCTTATTACTGTATGTAGATTTAAAGTCCTGAGTCAACCAATTTTTATTTTTACTCTCAAACTTTATGTTTCCTCGGTTTGCATCCTTCCATTTCTTTTGATAAACTTTTTAAAATGCAGCACACCCAGTAGAACCCAAATTCATAGAGACTAAAATAGCTTCTACAGACAAAGAAAATGATTTATCACTCGGATTTAGTTGGTCATGCCGTATACGGTTATGGACATCACTTATCTTCATATCAACTACAAAAAAATTAATTTAAAATTATTAGTGCAACCACTATAAACTAATATAACATGAATATGGCCATTATTTTTATTCAGATATATTTAATTAGGCCAGTACAATAAGCACAACACCTAATAATGACAACAAACCAAAAAATAGGTTTGTCGCGAATAGCATTTTACAGCAATATATATTTTTTAAATGTTTACCAAACCTAAAGGGGCAGCTATGAGCAGAATAAAACAGCACCAACAGGCTGTACATATATTGTATTAACTTATTCTAACATTAATATGCTGTTCCAGCAGGTTCTAAACTATATGAGCCACTTTTAACATAATATTTTTATACTATAAACAAGAATCTTACCTTTGTATTTCAAAATAAAACTGTGACTTTAATACAAGACTTTGGAATTTGTTATGGTATTTTTTGAAAAGCTATCAAATTAAATTTTAATAATATGTCAATTAATTTCGCATATGTTAAATAATTTAAAAGTTATTTGTTGTTATAGTTATGTTGTTATGGTATATTAAAAAAAAAAAAAAAATTAATTAATCATTATATTCAATTGTAAATAATAATTGTACATTTATGATGTACAATCAAACTACAAATAATGTTTTAAACCATACATTATGCTCTTATAAATATTATGTACTAAGTAGTTAGAAGTATTTCGAAATTTTTTTTTTGAGGTTTTGTCTACCACCTGGCCCACTGTGCATGGGTCTTGTTAAATTTTTCTGCTACATTGTTTGCATAAATATTTCTATAAAGCTATGTGCACCTACAATCTATTAAAGATAAACAGTGACTCTGAAATATTAATATTCTATTTTTTCTCAAATATTTTAATTTAGCAAATTTTTTCACTAAATTTTATCTTATATTTTTCTAAATTACTATATTTTTGCTCAACTTATTCTCCAAATAATGAATAATACTTTATTATTTATCAAAAAAGTATTGGATAGTTTGCTAATAGATTAAGTAATTTTAACTTTCTGAAAGATTGTGAAGTATATAAATGATAACATTTGTAAATAAAGTATTGATTAATGAACTTTGATGGCAAATATTTTCTTATCAAAAGATCAAAAGTTGAATATAAATTTTTTTGTGGCAGAACCTGAAATTTTTTCAAAGATTAAAAAAAAAATTTTAACTTTGATAAAAACTATTTAATAAAAACTCCAAAAAAAATTAAACTCTAAAAAAACATTCTCTAACAATTTTTTTAAAAATTAGGATCTCTGGCAAATTTTAAAAATATTATATGGAGTATTTTTATTTGCTTGAATTGATTTTTGATGTTTTGAAATATTATACCTTTTCGGGCCATATTTAGTTTTGTAAAATTTACAATACAAGTCATAATAAAATCAGATTGGAACAACCTTCTGATATCCATGAAACAACTATTCAATCCATGCATGGTAAGATACCACAGAAAATTGTTGCATATTAGGGTGAAGGGTTGTAATTATTAATGTGGTAAGCAGTAAAAATTTCTATTTGGTTTCACATGGTAATGATGTCTATGGTTTTTATACTTATTCTATGAAAGAACATTTTTTATTAACCATGGAAAAATGGAAAATAATAATTTTTGCTAATTTTATAATTTAAGTATTATTTTGAATTTTATTTGTTAAATATTGGTTCAAACTTTCACGGACAATCCATTAAACATGGAAATATTTGTATTTTATATTTATACAATTGGTTATTAGGCATATTTATGCAATTAATTGGTTATTATACAGAATATTTATGCAATTAATTGGTTATTATTTAGAATATTTATGCAATTAGTTATTATACAGAATATTTATGCAATTGGTTATTTTACAGAATATTTATGCAATTAATTGGTTATTATTTAGAATATTTATGCAATTAGTTATTATACAGAATATTTATGCAATTGGTTATTTTACAGAATATTTATATAATCTTATTGGTGAAGCTTGTTATAAACAATAACGTTATAATCACTCTAGCTGACTGCTATAAACAATATTGTTATAATTACTTAAGCTGACTGTTATAAATAATAAAGAAAGTTTACAGTAGACATAAAAAAATTTTGTGAAATTTTCACAATTGGCAACAAACAAACAAGTTCTTAATGTGTGACTAATGAGTTAATAAATGTTTTTAGTTTCATAACGGAACAAATGCAATAATTATTCTAGGGGATTTAAATTTTGTGGTAAAATATTTGAGGGGTCTGACTTTTTATGATGAGAAGGGAGGGTTCTAAATTGCATATTATTGCTGGATATCAATTATGGCTGAGTCCTAATCAGTTTTTTTGATTTGTTTTATTATATCCCAGTTGATTTTTCATCAACTGTCAAATATTATACATTTATGTCTGGTTATTTTTTTGTGTGTTTTTTTCTTTTTCTTTTTGGTGTTAAATAGATTTAAAAAAAATTGTGATGGCAAAACGAAATGATTGGAACAAAAGTTAAAAAAATTGGTTGGAGTGAGTTGCAGGTATAACTAAGCTATGATCCTATTGCTCTAAGGTACTAATCAAAACATTCCAAGTTTTTTTTTTTTTTTCTTTGGTTCAGTCATTACAATTAACTATTTGTTAATTTACAGTCATTCAATTTTGTTGCATTTTTAGTTATATTTAATTTTGTTATTGTTATTATTTTAAACTAATATTCAAAAATGAGAAATAAAAGATTTTTATTATTGACTTGGCCCCCTCGGTCTTAAAAATGTTTAATGATCTTCCAATAACAGAATGTTGTTGCTAGAAGAAATCAAAAAAGTAATTATTTCACAAATAATGTATTAGGTGAATTTACATTTTTAATATTGACACCTTGATTTGCTTGTTAGAGTGTTCTGAAAGATTCTAATGCAGCATTTAATACTCATTGCAATTATTTTTTTTTCAATAAAAAAGTTTTTAAATTTCTCCAACATTTGCAAAGGAAACTTTTTTTTTGCAAAAGGAGATTTTTAACCTTAAGTATATTAAAATTTTGTGATTCCACAAATAGTGAATCATCAAAGGGGTTAGGGGGTTAAATATTGTGTGAAATGTTATTATTGAACTAATATAGTTAATTAAAAAATTTTAATTGCTCTGACTGTGAATGACTGGTAGAATCTGGAATTAGAGATAAAATTAATATAAAAAATGTTTTCTCAAAAACATTTTTTTTTTACTATTAATGTACAGTCTTGAAAAAAAGTTTAAGACCACTTGCGAAAAACTGAAAATCTAATGAAAAAATTATTACAGTACAAAAAATAATTGGCAAATTATTTTTTGATTATTTAATAATAATTGGGAAATTGTGTTGACTAGCTATGGTTGCCAAATAAAAACTTGTACATGCTCAATTTTATTTTAGACACCAAAGTATAGCATTTATACGTGGTGGTCTTAAACTTTTTTCCAAGACTGTAGTAGTGTAGTAGTGATGCAGTAAAAAATAAATTTTGTACAGCCACGGACTTTTTATTATTTACTTCTTGACTCATAACTCAGTTGGTTAGAGCGCTGCTAAAGTTGGGAACTAATATTGGCCATAGCCAGTGACGTATCCAGAAATTTTATTGGGTATACCGGTCTAAAAATCCTGTCTATGTATAGAGGGTTTTTTTTTTTTAAGTATTTTATGTTTTACAACATGGCGACTTTAACAACAACATCGATTCACCGCTAATTTTCATTTACATGCTTTTTTTTGCATAATAAGCATTTACTATAATATTTCATTAGCAAGCAATAACTACAACATTTAATTTACAATGTTAGTATGTTTCTTTTATATAGACTAAAAAGATTTATTACATAGCATATTTATTGCATAACAAGGTCAATTCTTTCAAAATTTAAATTAATTCATTCATAAATTAATAACTTTTTTGTTATTCTCTTACTTTTCTAATAAAGTTTTTTAGCGTGATTATTGATATGTTATTATGTTTTTAAAAACTTTTATTTATTTTATCATTTATTTTATCATTATCATTGCATTGTAAATTATAGTTATGAAAATGTAAGCGGAGAAACTCATATTAAGAGTATTTTTTAAAAGTTAATGTTTTTATTTTAAAAATATAAAATGCTAAGTGTTTAATATTTTAATCTAATTGAAATATGTTTTACATTTTAATCCAATTGTAACATATTCTGTTCACGTGAATTCAAATTAAGCATTTTAATTGACTTAAAATACTTTAATAATCTGTTTTAAAAGTTGTTTTTCAAATGTTTTTTTTCTAAACGACATTAATAACAATTTTGTAATTGTCATAATAAATTTTATCACAAAACAGCAAGATAATAAGTAATAAAGATTGTTTTATTTTAATTTTCTTATGACAAATTTGGTGCTAATATAAAGTTGTTTTAAATTGAGTTTGGGCAGAAATTTGGGGGCCCATACCGTAAACCGGTACCAAAATCAGCCTGGATATTTCACTGATAGCAGCAAGATTGAAGGTTCAAATCCTGGCTCCAACTACTCAGCATGAGTAGTACCTCAGTACAAAAAGAAACGATTAGCTCTGCTTTTACAATGTTTACTTTCTACTAGTAATTAAATAATCTATTTGAGTAAATGAAAAATTGTTGTTTTTTTTTATTGTTTTGAGTTTTCTTAATAAAAAGTGTCTATATATAAGATCAAATGTAAGTGTCTGTGTCATTTTGAATCATTCTAACAACATAGTTTGTTTTTTTATTTACACAAATACTTATGTAAGTATTTAAACAAAGAGCTTATTCGCCTCAATTCAATCATTGCATTTATTTTAGTGGTGGTTCTTAATTAAAAACTAGAAAAATATATGACACATCTGTTACTAAATAATATCAAAAGGCACCTGCTAAAAGATTTTTTTTTTGTGACTTTGTTACACATGGGAAGAGTGGGTGCGATGTTGGTGGCATTGTCATGTAACAAGGGTAGCAAGGGTAAGTTTATAATAATTAGCAGATCTTATAAATTTGAATAAATGAAAATAAAAAAATTAAGAAATATATCAAAGAAATAAAGCTTTTAAAAGTTTGTTATTATGGTTTTAAATTAAAACATATTTATAAACTTTTTCTAGTTATCTTGATGGTCAAAGTCTAATTATAGAAGTTTTATAAATTTATAGACAAATAATTTTTACAAATATAATAAATGGACCTCAATATCGTTTAACCAAAACCATAAATATTATCACATTACAAGTTTATGAATTTTATAATCTAATTCTGCAGCTAGGTTTACAGTGCTTAATTACCAGAAAAATTACAATAAAAATAAGCTATTGTTTTTATGCCATTTGATTTGTCTTGTCAAAATATTTTCTTATTAAAATTTTTAATTTTTTATTATAAACATGTTATTGCTTATTTGGTTTGTTAATTTTTTTTCTCTTGTATGATTTTAGAGCAGTTGTCGTTTAATTTTTATGTTACTTTATCAATTAATTTTTAGACTGCTTTCAAAGAAAAAACTGCATAAGTTTGAGTTAGCATGCATTGCTAATCTTTGCCCAGAAAATGCAGAAGAAGCAAGAACGTTAATTCCAAGGTAGCTATATTAATTGAAAAAAAATTATCTTGACATGAGAATACTAGATTGTATAATTATATAATAAAAATTGTACATATATTACAATTTATAATTATAATAAAGGATAATATTTTTATTAAATAAATATCTAGATAATGTAAAAATTTTAATTAAATAAATACCTATATTTTAAGTAAATAAATACCTCTTTTCTACAAATACAAGCACTGCTCTAAAGAATTACTGACTTTTGTGCCATCTACTAAAATTCATTCTTGTGTTACTTGTCATCCAAGCCCTATCTTTTCACCATGGCTGTTCCTAAGTGCTCTAAAAATTCTTATTTGTCTAGTTTTTTTTCTCGAACATCAGTTCTTTGGAATTTGCTTCCTTCATCTTGTTTTCCTGATTCATATAATTTGCAATATTTTAAGTTGTCTGTTAATCGTTACCTTGCTCTATAAACTTCATCTTTTCTCTTCCAGTAACTTCCAACTCTAATTGTGGTTGCTTGCAGCCTTGTTGGAAACAAAGATTTTTTTTTAAAAAAAAAAAGATATTTTAACATCACAACATTCCTAAACAGTAAATCTCTACCCTGTATATATATATATATATATATATATATATATATATATATATATATATATATATATATATATATATATATATATATATATATATATATATATATATATATATATATATATATATATACAGGGTAGAGATTTACTGTTTAGGAATGTTCGCAAAACTAGAGCACTGTTTTGGTTTATAAATAAAAATATTTTTGTTAGAGTTATATTAGTGTTTAATAGAAAAACTTAATTGATGTCAAATTCTTTTTTCCATTTTCTTTGATCACATATTGGCACTGACGATATTGTCAGGAATTTATCCCAAGTTTTGTTCTCACACCATACTTGAACAGCTTTTGCTTTATATGTCAGGAAGCGGGAGCAATCGCTCTTGATTGCTGACCACGGAAATAATATTTAATTGTGAAAAGCTGGCCAGATTTTTTAGTTGTTTTGAGAACATTTTAAAAAGCAAAAAAAAATGTGCAAAAGATTAATTGGACCAATGAGAGATAATTACAAAAGAAAAAAAAATTATGAAACAAAATATCTTTTAACGCGAAAAAACTTAAAGCAAAATAACTTACGTTTAGAACAAATATTTTTGAAACATCACTCTTTTATAATTTTTCTATAGAATTAAGCAACGTTTTTTATATAAAGTAACATCTTACGATTGTTTAAAAAGGAAACAAATGTTCTTTATTTAACAAAGTTTGCAAGTTTTAGTTTTATCTAAGCTAAATTATTTTCTAAATTAAAAAGTTAATTTTTTTTATACCTATTTTATGTTTCACGTAGTTTGAAAAGTTTAACATATTTGAAACAATTCTTCATAGTAAGATAAACAAATGAAATAATTAAATCATTAAATTACTATAGAAATTAAATTAACATAATAGAAATCAACTAAAAAGGTTAAAAATACTTTATGACAAGGAAGCAAACTGCTTCACAAAATTGCTGATGATGTTTAGTGAGTGGGTTTTTTAATTTTAATTAGTATTTGAAGCAGAAAAAAGTATAACGAGTTTTTAAGAATGACAACTTAAGCAAAAATAATTAAAGTTAGTAAACCAATATCTAGAAACTTTTTTTTATATTTAATAACTTGCTATATATATATTTGTGTTCTGTCGTGACCTCAAGCGAAGTGCTTGTTCATCCGCGAGTTACTTTGTATGCATTGTTTGAGCTTAGTAACCAGAAACTTCTTATATGTTTGTTACATAATTAGTTTTATTAACTTTAATGATTATAATTAACTTCATTGAAAACACAATTATTGTTGAAGATCTTTGTTTACAAATTAAATTGTAAAAATTGCTTTAAAAGATTACATTAGAATAAAAAACAGATACACAAAATTCGATCGCTCCTGCTTCCCAACCACGCCTGAAGTATATAGATCACTTCAAAATAATATTTAAATGGAGCTGCTGGTTGATTTTGACTCCACTATCAATAATTTTAGTGAAAGTTCTCCTTTAAGAACTGTGCAAAAAGCATTACCCTTGATACATTTTTGTTGTCAAAAAATAGCTTAAATTATGTAGGATCTCTTGCAAACTTACTCCATAAACTCAATCATTTTTTCTGTAATGTGAATGATTAGACAAAATTATATTTTTATCAGAAAAATTATTAGTAGACTACCATGCCGTTCATGACCTTAAAATTAAATTAGTTGTAAGTTAGTTATATATCTAGGCATAGTAAGCGACCGGGGTCAGATTTGATAAAATATAGATGGGGCCGGAACAGGGGCTGCATAAACATTTATACATCCTCAAGTATATTTTTTTAATTCAAAATTCATGTTATATTTTTTATATATATGCAAATATAAACATCATTATGATCAACATGATCATCATAATTATCATTACCATCATCATCATGATCATCATCTGATCATTTTCTCTTTCAGCAAATACCACATCATAAAAATACTAATAATTATATAAATATGTAAGGATATTGTATGCCAACATCTAAGTAAATAGCAAACATATATGTTTATATCCATAATATGTATGCATAAAGCATAAAGCGTATCTCGAAAGCTTTTATTCTTTCTCTTCAATTTTAAGTTAATTAATTAAAAACTTTTACAGTTTGCTCCTGACAATATTTTCATCATTGTCTTAAAAAGTGTTCTCCAGAACTCTCTTCAATTTTTACTAAATTTTTAAAAAGTGCTAAATAAGTGGTTCCAGTATTTTAAAACTCTAACAAACACTTTGACCTCTCCAACTATGCTACGAATAGTCTTCTGTCTATTATTAGTCTTTTTATTTTTTATGGTTTTGAGATTCTAATTATTAGAAATTTGGAGAATTTTATTTCTAATTGCAGTATTGAAGTTATTCTTGAAGGCAACCTTGAACCTACACTTTTTCATTATTTTAAGTAACTTTTATGGTACCCCAAGGTTTTATCTTTGCTCCTGTATTGTTTCTTATCTACAATATCAATCTTCATGAAAATTTTACATCTAAAGTGGCTCTATTTTTGATTGCTTAAAACAAGCAATTTTTAATCTGATTTCTCTTCTGTAACAGCTGAAGGTTTACAAGCTAACAGCTGAAGGTTTACAAGCTAACAGCTGAAGGTTTACAAGCTAACAGCTGAAGGTTTACAAGCTAACAGCTGAAGGTTTACAAGCTAACAGCTGAAGGTTTACAAGCTAACAGCTGAAGGTTTACAAGCTAACAGCTGAAGGTTTACAAGCTAACAGCTGAAGGTTTACAAGCTAACAGCTGAAGGTTTACAAGCTAACAGCTGAAGGTTTACAAGCTAACAGCTGAAGGTTTATAGCAGCTTATGTATTTAAATTCTGGACTTAAAATTCAAAATTTTTGTTAGACAACAAAACTTATTTAGTAACTGCAAAACAATTGCAATAATGTTGACATTCCCATATTGATGAATAACAACTTTCACTCTCAGACAAAGTGTAAAAACTTATTGTAAATGTAATTAAACCTGCTTTATCTGCCATGCTTAAGCCACTCTCCCATTGTTGTAAGGTTGCATTTCTTTCTTTTTTCTAAAAATACTATCATGGTCAATGTGCAAATGAGCTATCTTTTTAATGATAAACCAAAACTCATTCTTATTTGGCTTCTTGTTCAACAAGTTGCACCCTTTTACTGCATCTGTCCCTTCATGCTATAAAAACTTTTATTAATCCAGTTTTTTTCTTTGCACATCAAAAAACCTTACCTATCTTCATGTTTATTTCATTAAAAAACTCTTACCTATATTCATGTTTTCCTAATAAATAATAAATAAAAGCATAAAATTATAATATATTATTATAAAAATTTTTTTCTAGCCTTCGCTATTAACCCTTCCTAAATCTTATCATTTTGCCAGGGTAAGGGCCGGAGCCGAGTTTGCAAAAAATCTCATTTTCAGCCAGAGACAGAGCCAGGGCCCCAGTCACTTACAATTTAGGCATATTGTGTGGGAATGTTTATTTGTCATTTTGTACTTCCTAACAACTGTGATGCTCTCATATATAGAAACTATTATCCAACAAAAAAGTTACCATTTTAATTTTGATAATGTAAATATACTAGTATACAATACCATGCCAGTTTAATGTCAGACTTATAATGCTCAAAGAATTAAGCATCTATTGAGATTTTTATTTAAGCATTTGTAGATTTTTATTTGAGTATATTGTGTAGTAATTTAGTCTTACATTGTTTGTTTGCTATATTTGTCAAAAATATATATATATCGCTAATAGACCTTAATAAAAAAAAAGCCATATACTGAACTTATTTCAAGGAAAATTTAAAAATACTGAATTATTTTTATTTACTGAGTTTACCAAACCATCTTCATCTGATGAATCGTAATTTATTTATTCATAATTTATTTTTTTATCTGCTTTTTTTTCTAATTATATGATTTATTTATGTTGACATTTTTATATAATACTATATCAGGACATTTGCAAAATTATTTTAAACACTTTTACGTCTAACTTTTCTGATATTTGTTAAGAACAAATATTAGAAAAATATAAAATCTAATAAAAAATCAGAAAAGCGAAATTTTTTTTTTTTCAATTTTGTAAGAGATAGTGAAGAGACATTTGATTTCAGGTAAATGAAAACAATATACAATGGAAATAAAAATAAAACAAAGTAGAAAAGTGGTAATCTTTGTTTAACTACAATTTTTTTTTGTTGTTGTTGAAAATCTCCAGCTGAAATAAAATAGGCTGATTTAGAAATCAAAAAACCTTAAAAGTGGAAATCCCAAAAGTTATTAAAAGTGGAAGACTGCTGCTGAATAATTTTTCACTTTTTATATACTTTAACCTTATTTAAGTTCATTTTTATCATTTTTTAGATAAAAGCATTTGATTAGATGATTTTTTTAAATAATTGAAATGACAAGTCTACATTCCGGTTTGTAAAC